TATCTTTTAAAAAATAAAAAAAAAACTTATAGTAAATGATTAACTTTTCTATTTTTCATTCTCTTATAAAAAAATGTCTAATATTTTTATATATATGGATATAGATATGGATAAAATGCATAATACCATGGTGCAACACTAGATCATTACTTACGTATAGATTGGGAAAAATGGTTAGATTATTATATTTAAAGACGTGCAGAAAGATAATGTGGGAGAAGCTACAGTTAATCGTGAGCCTCTCCAACTGAATCCCAAAACGTAAAATGAGGGGAGAAACAAACTCAAATTGCGTTTTGCTCATTCTCTCTGCATTTGTATTTTTGAAATTGCAATCCCACACTCATGTTTGTTATTAATTACATAAGTGGATAATAGAAAAAAAAATGCTAATATATAAATAAGAAAATGAAAAATTAATTGGTCGTTCAGTGTTATTAACATACTAAAATAATTATTGTCATATTTATCCTTTAATTTTTCATAAATTAAATACTAACATAAAATATATATATATATATATATATATAATATAATTTTTTTTACCAATAAAAATAACATTATAAACCATGAAATACAAAATAGATGTATATATTAAGGATATCAAATGATAAATCCAATCCAATAGAAATATTTTTTAAATATTCTTCAAATTTTATACAGATACGTAATTTATCAAGATTCCAATAAAAGATTGATAATAAATTTATTAGGTCTTTCTAAAATATTTTTTTAATTTAAACTTTGAAAAATATAATTTTGGTTTATTGAAAAAATATGTATTCCAATATGTTGTATATGTACGAATTATCAATTTATAATAAATTATTATATATTTTCAAATCAAATATAAAACAATATTGGGTCGAATGTGTAAAGTTGTTAAATATGTGGGTAATATTGAAAAGTTAGAAAACTTGATGTGAGAGAATATTCTTTTGGGATTGAGAATGAGTTTATCGGTTGAACAAGAATTACTGTTTGACGTGACAGTTACTGCAAATTAGATTTAAGAATGAGTTTTTCAGCTGGAGATTGGAAAATTTAGGGGGTGATTGGATATGAATTCAACTAGTAAAAAATTGGTTATTTATTAACTATAGCTAAGTTTAGAAAAAAGTAGTATGGTTAGTTGTTAGTGAATATATTAAAATAATATTTAAATTAAATTAATTAAAATTGATTTGATGTAAAAGTAGGAGAAAATGATTGAAAGTGATAGTTAGTTAAAATTATGTGAGTGGATGAATAGTGAATTAAAATTGATGTGATGTGTAATAATGATTGGTTAATATTATTTAATTATATTGATAATATTGGAGATAGTGGAGTTGAGTTAAAGTAGAGTTAAATTTGAATTTTGATTGAAATATTTACTGTACAATTCATATACAATCACTCCCTTAGAGATTATAAAGGGGAGATAAAATGACACGACTTGTTTACGAAAAGGAATAGTATAAAAAATAATATGGCATATAGATATAGCAAATAATCCTGCAACCTTTTCAAACGTATGAAATCAAATCCCTTCTACTTTGCATGACCTGCACAAATTAGGACATTTACATAGTAAATTACCGTCAAAAATATTTCACTAGCATCTTTATAAGCCCAAAAAACATTTTTATCTACACATATATCCTGATAACAAATCATTGGAAGACCTGTAATATATACTTTAGTAGATTCCATTGTTTCTATTAATAATGGAAGGAGTTATGAAAACAACACATCTGATTGGGTTCCTCATTGTTACTACATTTTCAATCATTCTAATCACAAGTCCTCAAGTAGTTGAAGGTGTTATCGGCATAGTCCTCAATCCTTGTACCCGCCAAGCTTGCATCAAAGCATGTAAGAAAATCTTGGGAAAGAAGTTCAAAGATGGAGCTTGCTATCGTGGAGACAAGTTCTGCTTCTGTCTCGGGGGATGATATATATAATATTTATGTAAGAATCCATTCCAAAGTAATTGCTATATATAATATTTTAAAGCTGATGTCTGAATAAGGTATTCGTGATATACATAATTGTTTCATTGTTTCGCATATCAAAATCTACAATAACTGCTCTATGTATTGTGTTGCTGCATTGAGAACGTAACTCACCTGTAATGGAAGAGAAGTATTTTTCCTCGCGATTCTCTCATTTTTTCCTCTATTGGTGCTACCCAAACTTTATTTCTAATATTTTCATATCTAATCTTATTTGATCAGGTATATACCTACACATCAATCTCAACATTCGCATCTCTGCCACTCATCACATTTTTTTGATCATTTTTATATTTAGTAGCCAAATACTTGGATCCATAAAACATCGTCTGCCGAATGGTTGTTCGAAGAATTTGCCTTTCAAACTCACTGGTACTTTACTATCACAAAGTATCGACGACGTGTTCCTCCACTTCGTATCTTTTTTTCTCCTCGTGGCTTTTTCTTCATGAAACACCAATAAATCGTTTAAAAGGCAAGTTCAAGTTTACCATGTTATATTTGTTGAGCACCCAACCAATTTTATTTTGGGCTGTATCAATTTTAAAAGTAAGAGTATGGGCTAATGAGCTTTAATCTATCAAATGGTGCACAATGATTGAAATTGGACTGGTATAGGGTACTATTTTTTTTCTCAAACGATAACAACTTCAAATAAACTCAAAAGCGTATGTACAAGATCGACCAGCCAAATGGCTGACCTTTTACAATCACCCTCGCCTAAACAAACTGAGATAGTAAAAGGAAGACGAGCATAACCGAGAACAGCCGGTTTTAGCTCTAGCAAAAGCAACAAAAGTAGCAGACCAAAACAAAAAGAAGAGGAAAGAACCCAACCCCAACCCACAAAC